ATGACCTTTCATGATGTGATCTGATGTTATCACCATTAACATAAAGCAATTAGTTGAAACAGGAGTTTCCTTAGGGGTGTGGTCTGCCTCCAGAATATAAATGGATAGTGCTCTCTCACACTTCCCCTCATGTGAGTGATCTCCTGCTTTCACTCTGTCTCTCTCTCGACCCGGCACTCCACTCCACACATGAGCTGCAGATTTTGGATTCACTAGCCCCACAATTCTGTGGGCCAGGTGAAGTCTCCAGCCTACCATCTAACCTATGGGTTTGGGACTTGCAGCCCCCACAACTCCCTGAGCCATTTCCTTGAAGTAAAGCTATATATTTACATATACATACGTCTCACTGGTTTTGCTCTTCTGGAGAACCCAACTAAGACAACCACTTACTATGTCCCAGGCACTACGATAGATCCAAGGACTCAGAGGTTAATAAAATACCCAATACTCATCCTTACAATCTAGAATTCACAAAGTGGCACTTAAGTAAGTTGACAAATGAGTAGGCATTCACCTTGTAAAAAGAAAGAGAGGGCTTTCCAAGAAAAGGGACTAGCATCAAATCAAAGCCCAAGACATGAAAGAGAATAGCTTATTCAGAGAACAGGACAAACTGGGGTATGGCCGGAATACATTCATGTGACTGTGGAACAACAAGAGATAAGAAGGAAAGGAACACTGGCAGAACAGGAAGGATCTCATATGCCATGCCAAGCTTTTAAAATTTTAATTCATTTATTGTACCCTACTGTATGCCAAGCCCTGTGCCAGGTACTGGGGACACAAAATCAGTAAAACATAATCTTTAACAAGCTCATAGTATAGCACAGCACAGGCATATAAAGAAACAATTACAATATAGCACAAGTAAGTGCAATGATATTTAAGGTACAGGCTCAGAGGAAGGAGCGAATACCTCAAACCTGTATCTGGGGAAAAGAAGAGTAGACAAGACAGACTGCATTGCAGAGGAACACTTGAATTAGATCACGATAGATAAATAGGATTTTGTGAAGCAGATGATAATAACAGTAACAGCAAACATTTACATAGTACTTACTATGTGCCAGGCTCTATTCCAAGCACCATATCTACATACTGACTCATCAAACTTAATGTGCTAGTTAAGTTTGTATGTCAAATTTGGCTGGGCCTGGTTGAGTGGCTGGGTAGCTGAATGTAGTTCTCCATGATGAGACTGGTAATCAACTCCATTGAGGAATTTATGGTAAGCAGCTGAGTAGCTTCCTATACATAACGAGAAGACTTGGGGAATGGTCTCTAGCCTGCAGCACACTTGAACCCTGCGTGTGTCATTGTTCACCAGTCTGCCATGCTCTGCCAACCTCGGGACTTTCAATGGACTTGAATTAATGGCTTGACATGTGGTTTGGTAACATTGGGATTGTGCCTTTTTTACTTGTCAATCTTGGGTTTGTCAGTCTCAGTAGCTAGCAGCTATCTGAGTGAAGAAAAGTCTCTAGCCCCAGTGGGCTGGTAGCAGGAGGCAGAGCTGAAGCCCAAGGCTGAGGGGCTTTCACCCAGCCCATAGAGCCTGGCACTATGAACTCAGAAGTAAAGGCTCCAAATTGTAAGAATAAATCCCTGTTTGTTAAGGCCATCCTATTTGTAGTATATTCCTGTCAGAGTGGCACTAGGTAACCAATACCCTTAATAACTATCTTATGAAAAAGGTATTATTATTAATCCCTATTTTGTAAAAGAGAAAGACAATGACAGGCTAAATGACTTTCCAAGGTCACACAGGTAGTAAGTTGCAGAGCTGGGATTTTAACCCAGGCAGTTTAGTTCTAGTAATTAAGAGTCTGTACTCTTAATGACTACACTGCATCCAAAAAAGGGTGCAAGGGTGTTTCAGGCAAAGAAGACAGCACATACAAAGATGCAGTGGTATGAAAGAGCATCACAACTTTGGGAGCTGCTGACACTGGATGGAGTGTAAAAAAGAACAGCAGGGGAGAAGGCAGACACGTACCAGGTTGCAAAAGGCCTTGGGTACCATGGAAAGAAATGTGGTCTTTATCCTAAGGTAATGTGAAACCACTGAAGAACTGGGCAGGAAAGTGACTGAGTAGACTTTCATTTTGTTAGATGTATTTCTCTGGTGTAAGTGTGAAGGAAAGAATGATGGGGGATGTCAAGGGCAGGAAGACAAGAAAACAGACCAGGGCACTGTTCTAGGTGAGAAATAACAAGGTTTTGAATCTAAAGTGGGAAGAGTGAATACCATCAAGCAGCAGCAGATTCAAGATATATTTAAGGAAACAGATTGAACATAAGGGAGGAGAGTTAAGGTTGATTCCTAGGTTTCTAGCTCCAGGTACTTGGTAGTTATGGATGTAAAAGTAAATGCAGGAGAATAAGGAATAGGTTTAAAAGAAAAGCTGATAAATTTAAGGACAATGTTACTCTGTGTGCCTATTGTTTATTATGATTCCATAATCTTCAAATCACAAAAGCTAGAATCACACAGTGATTCTCAGATAGAGTGCAAGTGGGGATACAGAAGGGAGCAGGGGCAAGTGGAGGCATATTAGAATCCAGGAGTTTGTGCATGCTGAACAAAAATCTGAGAAGCTGGACTATAGGAAGAAGAATGCAGCATCAAGATTGATGCTTGTTAATAACCTGCAATATGCAGATGACACAACCTTGCTTGCCAAAGTGAAGAAGACTTGAAGCACTTACTGATGAAGACCAAAGACTACAGCCTTCCATATGGATTGTACCTCAACATAAAGAAAACAAAAATCCTCAAAACATAAGCAACATCACGATAAATGGAAGAAAGACTGAAGTTGTCAAGGATACCTTTTTACTTGGATCCACAATCAACACCCATGGAAGCAGCAATTAAAAATCAAACCATGTACTGCACTGAGAAAATATGCTGCAAAAGACCTCTTTAAAGTGCTGAAGAGCAAAGATGTCTCTCTGAAGACTGAGGTGTGCCTAACCCAAGTCATGGTATTTTCAATAGCCTCCTATGCATGTGAAACCTGGACAATGAATAAGGAGGACCAAAGAAGAGTTGATGCTTTTGAGTTGTGGTGTTGGTAAAGAATACTGAATGTACCATGGACTGCTAGAAGAACAAACAAACCCGTCGTGGAAGAAGTACAGCCGGATTGCTTCTTAGAAGAATGGCTAGACTCTCTCTCTCATATTTCAGTCATGTTGTCAGAAGGAACTCTACAGAAAGGTATCATGCTTAGTAAAGTAGAAGCATAGCAAAAAAAAAAGGGGGAAGACCGTCAAGGAGATGGACTGACACAGTGGCTGTGATGATGGTCAAGTACGGCAATAATTGTGAGGATGGTGCAGGACTGGGCAGTGTTTTGTTCTGTTGTACACAGGGTCACTATGAGTTGGAACCAACTGGATGGCACCTAACAACAAGAACAGGAGTTTGTGTATGACTCTATGTGTAGTTCAATTAGCATCCTCCCGTTTTACCTTCAGAGAGCTCAATAACACCATCCTGCCAGCTTCTGTCCTTCACTGAGAATTACTGCTGTATCTAATTACCCAAGAACACTCTGAAAAAGTAGAGACAGTTGAAAACTTGAATGTATTTCATGAAACCACAGAACTGCAAGGCTAGGAGACTTTAAAGATCAGCTAGGGTTCAGTAAGTCTCAACCAAGGGCTGCTTGGAAATAAGTAAGGGTGTTTGCTTTTCTTTTTTAATTTTTATTTCTTTTCTTATTTTTGCAGTGTTTCTACCCAAAAGTCCAGCTGAGTATATAAATCAAGCACTCAGGACACTCCCTTGCTTTTTCAGTCCTTCTAACATTTTCTTTAGCCCCAGAGCCCCTCATTCTCAGAGATTCTGCCTGGAGGTACAAGTTTGGCAGTTGTCTGCACAGAATGCATGGATGGATAAGGTCACCCTGGTGAAGACCAAATACATGAAATGTAACAGAGCTCTGGGGAGTACAAACATTAGGGGTCTAGTGGAGAAAAAGGAACCAATGAAGAAAAAATCAGAAACTTAGGAGAAGTTCAAGAAAATAAAGGAGACTAAGTATAAGCTTTTTTTACTCAAATAATTATTTTACCATTTATTGGATACCTACATTAATTGATTCATTGGTTGTCTACCCTGCATCGATCCCTTGCCTCTTTCTTGTTAACAGAAACCAGATTAAGTTCAGGTAGCAAAGAGTCCATTAAAATACTGTAGTCTCTTGCCTAGTCTTAGTAGTAGGTGTGGAGTCCATGTGATACAGGTCTGGCCAATAAACTCTAAGGGTACATATACCCTTATCCAGTCCTTAGAAGCTCTGGTGGTGTAGTGCCTAAGGCATTTGACTGCTAACCAGAAGGCTGGTGGGTCAAACCCCCCATTCACTCCTCAAAAGGAAGGTTGGGCAATCTACTTCCATAGTGATACTGCCTCAGAAACTCAAGGAAGGGTCGCTATGAGTTGGGTCCAACTTGACGGCAGTGTGTTTGGTTTGGTTTTGGTCCTTCCCCATAGTGGCTGGTGGGTTTGAACCGCTGACTTCTGGTTAGCAGCCAAATGCCTCATCCACTACGCCACCAGCTAGCAAAGTATTCGTAAAACCAAAATGATTAGAAGAGTATAGCAGAGGTATAAAACAAAACCAAATGCACTGTCATGGAGTCGGATCCAACTCATAGCGACCCCCCCCCTTGGGTTTCTGAGGCGGTATCACTAGGGAAGTAGATTGCCCAACCTTCCTTCCAAGGAGTTTCTGGTGGCTTTGAACCACCAGCCTTTTGGTTAGCAGTCAAATGCCTTAGACACTACGCCACCAGAGCTCAGAGGTATAGATATTAAAAATAAGTGTAAAGGATAAGAAGAAAACAGAGTGGTCCGGTGCACTCTGGGGAGGGATATGGCAAGAAATAATTCATAGGTTTTCTAAGAATAAAACCCCTCGGCACAACCTTGCTGTCACAGTTCTATGCACATTACCACATTACGCTAGTCCCAGATCCCTTCTCACCTTCAGAGATTCAATCGTGGCCTGCTTGTAAACTTTTGCTCCAGGATCTTTCTTCTGAGGGCTATTTTGGACTCGAGGCGTTCGGATGATGAATTTATCCATTGCTAGGGGGATTCCAACTACCTCCACGTGCTTGCAGTGCCGTTCTGTTCAAGAAAGAAGGCAAGTTCTAGAGTTTCACCAAGACTACTGTGATGACTGTTCCCATGACATGGACAATTGGGTTCTATATACTCTGGAAGCATTCCTGAATTATGAGGACTCGGGTAGAATTTACAGAAGGTTAAGATTTCTTCTTGTAAAAGAAAGATCTTCCTAAGAACTGAAGTTGTATACAATGACAGTCCTACTTCCTGAGGTAGGAGGCCCCTTAGCTTCCGGAAGTGCACGGTGTGAAGGGGATGCTAATATTAGGCCAGGCATTGAACCTTGTGCCTTCTAAAACCTATTCCAGCTTGGGTTAGGTTGTGGGAACACTAGGGTTCCACTGGGCTCGATGAAGCCCTCTTAACTACCCTACCACAACCATCCAAAGGGTTCTCTTAGTAACCAACAACCACCCTGAAGCCTCAGCGGACTCCTCAAATAAACAACCATCTTCCGGAACAACTACTCAGTGGTCAGAAGGTCTTAACTACGTCTGCCGTGCTCTGGATCCTCCTAGCAAATGGAAACCCATCCACCTCAGCGCAGCACTTATGAGTCCAGGCAAGGATACCTAACAACCATCTGACAACAGACGCACCAAGAAAAGCAGCAGCTGGGTCCCTACAAAGCGCACTTTCTGAGCTCCCAAGCCCTGATCGCCGCCGGGGAAACTGAACATTTACTCTCAGTGCGGAAGAAGGTTGGAAGAGGTTCCACCCGTACAGAGAGCGTCTCCGAGCCGCAGCTAACTACACTCCCCAGAATGCACTGCGAAGGAAAGGACTGTGGGCGTGTCTAGGACTGCTGTAGTTATCCGAAGCGAAGTTTCCTGACGGCCTTATTCGCCTCCCAGCCGCGGAAAACTACAGCCCCCAGCTCGTCCCGCGGGGAAAAGGGTCGGGGGGCGCCATTTCGCGCTCTTATTCGCGATGGTTAGCTCCTCCTTACGCCAGCCTAGGAGGAGTTCGTAGTACCAGAGGTGGGGCCAGAGACGGCAGTTTCGCACTGGTCTGGGCGGAGCTGAGGAGACAGCGGAAGCGGCTGCCCGCGGGGCGGAGAAGGGGGTTGGCCCCGGAAGGAGGAGGAAGGTCTGAAAAGAAAACAGCAACAAGCTGAGCTGCTGTGACAGAGGGGAACAAAATGGCGGCGCTGAGTGGGCACCTCTGGGTCAGAGCCCAGCTGGGGCTCCCGCCGCTGCTGCTGCTGACCATGGCCCTGGCTAGAGGCTCGGGGACCGCTTCGGCTGAAGCATTTGACTCGGTCTTGGGGGATACGGCATCTTGCCACCGGGCCTGTCAACTGACCTACCCCTTGCACACCTACCCCAAGGTAGGGCCCGATTGAACCGGGCAACAACCCATCCCTGGCCACCCATCTTCTTGCTTCCTCACACCTCAGTCTGCTCTGGGAACTTGGCGCTGAATCGACCTTGCAACCACTGTCCCCCACTTGTGTAGCTTCTGTTTTCCTCCCTAATCTTGCCTGTAACCTGCTCCAGCTGTCATTACCGGAAGTGTGTGCTGCACCTACTTTGTGATAGGCTGGGGGGAGGGGGCGGGAGGACAAAGATGAGAAAGACACGGTTCATTTCTTCAGCATGGGAGACGAGCACTCCCAAGGGAGATAAGGATAGTCGTACGAAATCCTCACCTTCTAGGAGATTCTCTTCCAGTCAAGGAGTGGGGGGGGGGGGGGGGGGGACGGACAGATACGCAAGTCCGCAAGAAGGTTAGGTCATAACTAATGTGTACTGAGCGCATCTCTGGGCTGGAAGCGCACAGTCTGTTCAAGGAGTCAGACAATTTCACTATAATATGAAAAGTGTTTAGGAGTCGAACCAAGGAGTTGTAAGAGCGCATGGGAAGGGCTTTCACCTAGCTTGAGTGACTGTGCAAGGCGCTGCCAGTAGGGACTGGGGTGTCTTAGGGAAGAAGCAGTTAGTTTTTTGCCTTCAGGGAATTTACCACACAGTGTAGAAGATAGGATATTGGGAATTCGTGAAGTAGGTAAAGAAATAAGACCCGGAGGGAGAGGGCAAAGCCTGTGGACGGGAGTGGCCCTACTCTGACTCCCTGCCCCTACCCCTGCGTCCGTCCGCAGCCTTTCTTTTCATTCCAGCCCACTTCTGGAGTTTGTCCAGTTTCTTAAAAGACTTTGTTTACTCAACATCCTGAGTTGCTTGATGACTCCCCCACCCTTCACCATATGTAATTTGGGTATCCTCTATCTTTCCTTATAATAGCCTGCTGAGATTTTTGGTCTTTTTCTCTTTGTTTTTCCTTCAACTCCTTTATGCTGTCTGCTTGAACATTGTGGCTAGCCCGCTTTAGTCTTTTAAACTTCGTAGTGGCCACAAGGAGAGTTCCAATGAAGGTTGGGACGTTTCTTACTGGCAAGCGCTTTCAGATTCGTGAAATGTTAGCACTTCCCATGTGTCTGTTTACGACTGGATTTTACATTACACAAAGATTATCAGTGTTCAAGAAAAGGTGTAGGACAGAGGATTATCCTAAATTATTAGAGGCAAAGATTGATGTAGCAAGTGAGAGAGAGAGAAGTGAGAAATCCTGATTTTCAGATTTAAATCCATGAACACGGTTCCTCAATGCGTTATTTTCTTGTCTTATAAACCTCTCATCATTAAGAACATTGAGGAGACTTACTGATACTAATTTGGAATTGAACTGAGGTATATTTTATACAGTTTTAGTGTTTGGGCTTTTTGTTTTGTTTTGTTTCCTTTTTTAAGTTTTGCCAAGCAAATCTGTGGTATGAACCAGATTGTTGGGAAATATAATTAAACAATTTGAAAGAGTATACATTTCTGTAACCTTTGGGTACTTTATAATATCCACTGCATTTTAAGCCTTGATGTGATAACAGTAAGTCATTATTTATTTATTTATTCATGAAAGTGGTTCTCACCAGGAACTCAACTACCTGGCTCTTTATATGTTCTAGACTTAAAAATGTATTGGCTGTACCTACTATTTATGTATCTACTATCTGGTTCAGTGGTAAAATTCTTTCCTTCAGGAGACCTGGATTTGATTTCCAGCCAGTGCATCTTATGCTCAGCCACCATTTGTCTGTCAGTAGTGGATTATATGTTGCTATGATGCTGAATGGGAGCTCTAGTAGTGTAGTGCCTAAGGCACTTGACTGCTAACCAGAAAGCTGGCGGTTCAAACCCACCAGCCACTCCTCAGAAGGAAGGTTGGGCGATCTACTTTTGTAGTGATACCGCCTCGGAAACCCAAGGAGGGGTCACTATGAGTCGGCTCTGACTCAGTGGCACTTAACAACAACAACAACATGATACTGAACAGGTTTCAGCAGAACTTTCAGACTGAAGATGGACTAGGAAGAAAGATCTTGTGATCTACTTTTGAAAATCATCCATTGAAAATTGGGATGAAAATGGGTCTGATCTGCAGCCAATCATGGGGACAGTGCAAGGCCAGGCAGCATTTCTTTCCATTGTGCATGGAGTCGCCATGAGTCGGGTACTCTATAGCAGCTAACAACAACCAATAATCTGTTAGCCAGTATCGTGGGGAATTTACACCCATTATGATTAAAGCATTTGGCTGTTAACCAAAAGGTGGTGGTTTGAACCCACCAGCCCCTGCACAGAAGAAAGACGGGCAGTCTGCTTATATAAAGATGTATAGCCTTAGAAACCTAGTGGGGGTTGCTGTGAGTCAGAATCGACTGAATGGCAGTGAGTTTGGATTTTTTATATCCCTAATTCTCACAATAACCCTGCAAAGTAGAGTTTTACAATAGAAGAAATTAAGTGTCTGAAAAGGCATGCCCAATGTCTCATAGTCAAGAATTTGTGAACTAGGACTTCAACCCTAAATCTGGCATTTATATACTGCCATTCATTAATAAACTTACATTAAAAATACCTCACTTATTTCACTGATATCTATTCACCCTCCAAATTATTTTGCTTTGTGGTTTAAGAAAAAAAACACTGTGTTATAAGAAATTAGATGAATTTTCAAACTCACTTGTGCTCTTTTGGTTTGATACTTGTAACTGACAGATATAAATTGTATTTTAATGACTCCTTTCTTGAGTTATTTGTTGTAAGAAAGTAAAATCCTTTACCTTTTTGTAAGTATCTTAAAAATTACTATATTTTATCCTTTTACTGTCCTCAGAGGTGCAATTGCATAGTTTGACTGGGGCCAAAATAGAACCAGACTGTGTTTTGTTTTGTTTTTTAATAGAGGTGAGCTCTGGTACCATATAAACCCAGATTCCACTCCCAGCTCCACTATTTCTAGCTATGTTCCCCTGCTAATCACTTAACCTCTCAGAACTTTGTTTCCTCTGCCTAGCACAGTGCATAACACACAGCCAGTCATTTGATGTACTATAGATAGCTATTTGTTCTATGTTATAAAACCGGTTTGGTTCAAATAGTACGCTAGATAGTGGGAGAATAGTTAGCTTGACTTAGCTCAGGATGAGAAAATGTGTATCTAGAAGATACAGATATGATCATTGAAGGATCATCTCATTACTTAGCTGTATTCAGTTCATTGGAGTTCCTAAGTGGTGCAAATAGTTAATACACGTGGTGCTAACAGAAAAGTTAGTGGTTCAAATTCACCTAGAAGCTCCTCAGAAGGAACCCTGGTGATTTACTTCCAAAATATAAGCTGTTAAAAGCCCAATGGAACACAGGTCTCTGACACATACAGGGTTTCCATGAATCTGGATTGAGTTGGCAGTATAATATAGTGTAAAAGAACAAACCAAACCCAGTCCCATTGAGTCAGTTCTCACTCATAGCAGCCCCCATAGGGTTTCCAAGGCTGTAAATCTTTATGAAAGCAGGCTGCCTCATCTTTCTCCCACAGAGTGCCTGATGGATTCAAACAGCTGACCTTTTGGTTGGCAGCCAATGCCTTAACTACTCCACCACCAGAGCTCCCTAATATAGTGTAAAGAATTGTCTAAATCTATGAGAGGTAAG